AAAACACTACCGAAATTTTGTTTTCCAAAACTCTAAATTTCATAAGAAACCATCGCCAACCTTTTATCTGACTATAGGGTTGAGAGTAATGCACTTTATCATATGTATTCGCTTGTAAAGAATGAGGATTTTCTCAGTTTTTCGCAACATCCGCACCAATCCAGTTCATCACCGCAATTCGCGCACAGAGCGATCCGATTACGAGGGCGCAAAAACTGAAATTCGCCCTATAGCGTACACTGATGGCGATTGTTTCTAGGTCAACCTGGACCCAAGGGACCTCCTGGACCAGACGGCAAACCCGGAGCTGACGGCAACCCTGGTCAACCTGGACCTCCCGGACCACCTGGACAAGCAGGAGAGCGTGGTATTTGCCCCAAGTACTGCGCCATCGATGGAGGCATCTTCTTTGAGGACGGCACTCGTCGTTAACACCGAAGAGAGCATTATTTATTGCTACAGGAAAATCTTTATAATAAAATCAGGAATGCTGCCCTTGCATTTTGAAGTTGAAACAGAATACAAAAAAAGACCTTGGTGCATGAAACGTTCAGCCCACACATTTTTATTTCTGCGGGTTTTACCGCAAAATTTCAAATAAAACAATAACGAGCTTAGCTAATTGTGTAAGGAAAAAGGATATGCAAGTTGTTAGCCTAAAATCTCAATTAACTATATACGAACACGATGGAGAAACTGCTCTTTAGGTTTTCTCAGTCAGAACCGGTACAAGCTTGATTGTAGAAAGCGAAACTTTTTTGGGATTTTAGATTCAAAAGTTTAACAGCTGTCATAAGCCTTGGATTTTATATTGAAATCCATTAACAATATTAATGTGAACTACTTGAAAAACGATAATATCCCGGTTCCGCATGGAGCAGTAGCAGTTTTGTTCTTTTCTATAAGAAAGATTGGTTACAAGTGACATGCCATAATGTCGAAAATGCATTGTCACTGAAATCGGCATTGCGGTCAGCAATATGGTCGACATTAATTAGAGCACCGCATTCATGCACAAGACATTTGAATGAAGCACATGTCTTTCAAATCAATGAACTTCATCTCACTGAGTAATTTAACAATTGGAAGCCTGTAAGGATTTTATGAAAATTCACAAGAAATGGATATCCGTTCTTCATGATCATTTTTACACTCCAATGATGTCCCACACAGCAATTTTGTTACGAGCGACCTTGATAAGTAAATTACCAAC